CAGGAAACAGTGCTGGGCTGTGTGCTACTCTAATGACTTGGTGACGAGGGAAAGCGGCTGAAGTTGAGCTCCAGCTAGGGATCGATGTGCGGAGAGGAAGGACGTTGACGGCTGTGCTGTTGACAAGGAGTACGGTGTGGGAGGCGGTAATGAGCCGGGTTGGTGACTGTGGTCTGTCCCGTTGTGACAAATATTGGCTGGCATGTTGCCGGGCTTCCGGGTCGGGCTTTCCGTCAGAGGTGACTGAGGCATGCACAGCCGCGCCAGAGGTTCAGGCTTCAAGGAGAGAGATAGAGGTTGTGTTTGTTCACTTTGTGAGTTGGAGTCTGTTGTTGGGGAGTCTAGCATGGTGGGAGAAGAAGGAGGAGAGTCTAGTAAGCTTCCATCTGAAGATGGCGGACTCACGCAGCTGCCTTCACCTTGTATGTAGCGAATGCACTTCTTTTTTCTCCTAAAAAAAAGAAGAGGGGAAAAAGGGTCCATTGTGAATTCCGTCTGAAAAAATCATAAGGTAACGGTGCACAAACATAGACAAATATTTGGCATTGGGCTCTGAGCAGGTAGGCAACAGCTCTTTGGTAAACTTAATTTAAACAAGAACCTCCACTTCAATATTACTCTAGGCCAGTGGCGGGAGTCACCATAGGGCCTCTGCGTGAGGCCAATTTTTGGCCCTCTATTCAATCCACACCAACCACGTGTTCCCTAGCTCCTTTCACTTCAATATTACTGTAGGCCAGTGGGAGGAGTCACCAAATGGCCTCAGGTGAGGCCAATTTTTGGCCATCCATTCAATCTGCACCAACCACTTGTTCCCTAGGAACTTCCACTTCAATATTACTCTGGGCCAGTGGCAGGAGGCGCCAAAGGGCCTCTGTGTGAGGGCAATTTTTGGACCTCTATTCAAATACTTGCCAAGTAAAAGACATTCACTGTGCAGCCATTCAGAGCTTGAGGAAACTGAGCCATGCCCAAGTCTATGTGACAGTGAGAGGGTGTCCTTACATACATCTGACCTACAGGTAGTATGAAGGGATCCCTAAGCACCCAGCGGCCCTGGTGCAACTAGACCAATCGTATGTCTACTCCTGCTGTAGGTCAAATATTGACCAATGAACTTCATAAAACATTCTACTAAAAGTAGCCGCTTGGTACAAATTTCTACTCCTGCTGTAGGCAATGTGCATATTCAGCAGTGGTTAGTGAGTCTTCATGTTGTATAAGGAGAACCCCAAGCCAAAAGCAATGGGGAAACCCTCCATGTGGCTGCACAGTCACCCAAAATACATTTTTCTACCTGAAATGGTATAAAACCATTCTCAGCACCGTAAGTCATCTGGGGTGGTGTACATTTGGGCCAATATAGAAAAGGAACCTTTTGTGGTAGAGTAAACTTAGCTCCACGAGGCACCCAAGGTGGTGTAAATAAAGTCCTACCTCAAAAAGCAAGCTTGTGTGGTATGGTAAACCTAGCTCCACAAGGCACCTGAGGTGGTGTAACGTCCTGCCTCAAAAAGCAAGCTTGTGTGGTATGGTAAACCTAGCTCCACAAGGCACCTGAGGTGGTGTAACGTCCTGCCTCAAAAAGCAAGCTTGTGTGGTATGGTAAACCTAGCTCCACAAGGCACCTGAGGTGGTGTTAATAAAGTCATACCTCAAAAAGCAACCTTGTGTGGTTTGGTAAGCTTAGCTTCCACAAGTCTGCTGAACGGTGCTTTGTAGATAAATAATATAAAAGGTTCTACACCAATGCTAGACAAGTCCCAGGAGTCAAGTGACCAGGGTTCTTAAAAATGAATGCTGGTGCCAAAGCCCTCTTAAAGAGAGACCCATCTAGGGCAAAGTGGCAGTGTCTGATGATAGCCCACCAAGTTATACTCGCTAATCCACACTTCCTTGCCATTTTACCACTCCATCCTTGCTTCCTTGTGCCAATATGGAGGAGCATATGACAGACCCTTTGTGACAGTGCTTTGGCCTGAACAGTCAACCGCTGGGCCCGAACACAACGTCAACAAGGGCCAAAGACATCATCCACCCAGGTAAGCGCCAACATCATCTGACACCGGAGCTTACCCAGGGTGGCCTCCTGCAAGTGGTAGGTGATTAGGGAGCGTGGATCAGCGGGTCTACCTTGAAGTCTTCTGAGGTATATATGTGAACGTCGGTAGCTTCGTGTAAATAATTTGATCGAGAACTATTTTATTTCTGACGTTTACATGTTTTTTTCCTAAGGTATTAATATGTAACGTGTGATGTCATATGTGTGTATTACTGAATAAAAAGTGCTTGATTCTGTATCATTGGCACCTATATGTGGACATATTGGCAATCACATATTCTCATTACACAGACTGGCTCTGCTTCCTGCTTAGTAATACTGCACAGTGACTGTGTCTTACAGTCCCTCTCTCAGTGTAAATCTATCCGTCTGGTCTGACTTGAACATAACAGACTCTCTATAGGTCAACTAAGGTCATCTTTGCAGCCATGAAGCAGGGTGCCAATTCCCCTTCTCTGGTATTCAGATGACATCCAGAGTGAGCATTGACAAGATGGCATATGAAATACAATAATACACACACGGAACAGCAAAAATAAAATTGAAAACAAATGGCTTTCAGGTACACGTTACAAAAAATAGCCCAATGGTGTACTCTAGATTGGCCCTCAACTCTAAATAAATGTCTTTCTTTGACCTAAGTGGGTCTGGCTAAGCACTGACCATCTTTTAATATAGGAAAAAAACTCAACTTTACAAGTCACCCAAATTAATTTATTCTTCCTGAAATGGTATAAAGACATTCTCAGGACCATAAGCCACCTGGGGTGGTGTAAATATGGTCCAATATAGAAAATTAACCTTTTTGTGATATATTAAACTTAGCTCCACAAGGCACCTGAGGTGGTGTAAATAAAATCCTTTGCAACTAAAAAAAAAAATGATGAGGTAGCCCCTCTCCTTCACAAATATAAGGCTAACAAGCATGGCTTTAATGGGGGAGGTTTACAGTGCCATGTGGGAGGTAAGTTTGACCTTCTCAGCTACTGTGGGAAATCCTATATGGACACAGGTTCTATATGTTGAAACCTCCCACACATGTCATGACTGTTATCATTCATGCCCTGCACTGATGATGCTTACTTGTACGAGGCAGATTATTATAACATATTCCCTAGGGTCAGGTGACTTTGTTGAAGTCTACATAATGATATCTTAATGAAGAAATGGGAGCGCCCCAAATATGGAGGTGATACAACGTAAAGACTGACTGACTTTACAGGACAACATAATGCGGCATGCACATATAGCAAAAGAGATTACCGGCGGCCGAGGCCACATACACTGGTAATCGGGTGCCCTCGTGTACAGTCCATCGGGGGGCGACTCATACTGGGACACCATACCAGTAACATTTTGGAGGAAAAATATGGTCAATACACACAGTGAGGTTGGATCATGCAGGACTGAATGCTCAAGCAGAGGATGAATGGCGGGATGGCAGAATGGGGTGGAGGCATGTGCCGGTCATACTCAACGTCTGACATGGGTTAGGAGAAGGCAATCAAGTTAGTAGTTGAGGTTAGGATGACTTGTGAGTGCTCTTTGGCATCATTACGATATACTTTTCAGTTGTGTCTGAGCTAAATGCATGACCTGAGGCCACTATACTATTAGAATACCAGCAAAAAGTTACTCATCTTCTCACTATTCAAAAAGAGTCAAGTTGCAAAAGCCAAAAACATTCAACTCTCTAGCTGATGAGCGTTGCTGCCCAGAGCCCAATGGTGACCTTCTTCAGTCTTGTGGTGGGATGAGTTGGGACAATGTTGGCTGCAGCCACTCAGCCTGCAAAAGACTTTCAAATCCTAGCTGGTCTTGTTAACCATGGTAAGGCCTGATGGGATTTACAGTTCCTCCTCAGCTGGAGGGCCACCGAGGCTGTCCAAGCCTCAGATACAGCAGTATTCAGAATAATGCATTGATCGATTATATGTCAAGGATAACTTAGACCCCTCACACCCGTGTTTTCCATGACATACCCATGACATATATAATTGATCAATGCAGCTTCTTCAATGATGCTATATCTGAGACTTGGACAGCCTTTGGCCCTGCACCTAAGAATGCACTTTAAATACCAGCGGGCCTTACTATGGTTAAAGCTGAAGCTTAATCTGTTCATATTTCACCTCCCTGGTCCACCCTTTTAGACACAGTGACATAATCAATGGGTCTCTATGCAATGCGGGCAGGTCATAGTCGGTGGGAGGGGCCCGGCAGGGTGCTGTACATAGCTTCCTGAAAACCTCACAGCACCCTGCCTCAACTCTTCTCAAGAGCCCTCAGCTCTGGTACAAGCAGTGGGCTGGCTCTTGGGAGGAGTTATGCAAATGTCAAAATGCCTTGATGGGTAGGCTATTACTTTGGAGCAATGGGCTTTCCTAGGTAGGCTGCATTTTCATGCAGACCACCCAAGGTAATGTTGCCTGTAATACTGAGTCTCCATGATTAAAAGTACTGAAATTCAAAGAATGAAAGGGGTGGGCCAGGGACAGTAAGTCTGGTCTGGGAAGAGCTAGATGATACTAGACCTTCTCCATCCAGGAACTATGGCGGGCTCTATCTGCAGCTTCTAATGCACATTGTGAGAAGCTCCCAGTGAAATCATAAAAAGCATTTTAAGTCCAGGAGAGGAGCCGCTACCACTGCGCAAGACTAAAAGGGAAGGAGTTCAGCTTTAACAAGACCAGCTAGCGCTCTTTGTCTATTACACCCAACACTGAACCAATGAAACGGAGCGTTTTCAGTACATAGGTCTTAGGCCTACATGCTAAGATCATGAAACACAAGATGAAGTGACACATGTTAACACACAGAGAGGGAGGAAGCCATACCTACCATAGTTACATTCCAAATTCAAAGACTGCTTGCATCAGAATAAAGAAATAACAGATTTAACCAAAAGGATCAATGAGAAGGAAGAAAGTGAGAATTCGTAGTCCCTCCACCAAGATTTTACTATAGCGACTGACATGTATTATTTACCTAGACCCTACCAGGTGAGTCACAGTTACATTACAATGAACACGTTGGTTACTATTTGTGCCTCCTATGTGGATGGTAGCTCACGAGTTATTGACATTGTGCTCTCAATGCAAGGTCACATTTATAAAGCTTTTTCCAGGAATAATGATCCACTTTCCACCGTCTCATATAGGGAAGCTTGCCTAACGCTGCACCCTTACAGAACCATGAACTTGAGAGGCCTCATCATGGAAGACAAGGCCAACAGACCTGCAAGTCAAAGGCTGCTTGCACAAGACCTGACCTTTGCAGAGGGCATTGTGCTCAAGTGGCACGTTGCTTGGGACATTCAGATTAAGAATGAGAGCAATAGCTAGCACCTGCACATTGTAAGCGCTTGCTATGGCACAAAGAGGTTTTCCAACTGTTCGCCTTTTCAATGGTGAAAAGAGAATGTGGCTGTTACTATTCACATTCCATACTCAACATAGAGAACTCCCGAACAGCACTGAGGCGTGATCGAGAAGAAGTCAAGTGTTTTGCAATCTGTCTTTCTTTGGCTAGCCTCATCATCACCACAGTCAAAGTGTCTCAAACCCGCAGCAGGTCTGGTTGCTGCATAAAATAATGTTAGGAGGACTATAGACGTAAGACGACTGTTGCCCAATCTGGTCAATTTTGGCCATTTTAAGTGCCAATTTCAAAGAAAAACAACAGACCCCAAAAGTTAACGTGTATGCTTGGGTGATGCCAGCATGCTTGTGTAAGGAAAGATCTTTCAGAAGAAAGACCTTTGGCAGTTGGATGACCACCCACATGTCGGACCACCCTCTGATTTTCAAAGCTAGGCCACGTTATTGACTTTCCCTGGAAAAGTGGCCTTACCCAACAGCTTAGGGGGGACAGTACCTAACCAAAGCACAAACTTTTAAAAAACTAAACCCTTTTACTTATTAGAAAATGTATGGTGGTCTTAAAGAGGCCAATAATCACAAGTGGTGCCCCCTGATTTCAAGTATCGCTTGTCCTCACTGGGCTGTTTCTGACTGCAATAAAGACACGCCTCTTTGTTGCTACACATTCCCTTCAACTACCTTCTGCGTGGTACTTTAACTAACGTTTTCTCTTCTACTACTTCTGTCAAGAATTGACCACCAGAAAAAAAATATTTTCTGGTCTTTTATGACACGCTTTAAGAGGAGATCAAAGTAGGATTCCAACCACCAGTAATATATAGAGGAAAGGAAAAATGAATTTCATTTGACAGAAGTGGGTGCAATCATAGAGAGGCTCTCCAGGAAGGATAGAAGGGATTTCATTGATTCCCAGGGGGGCCTCGTTGTATATACCTGCACGGTTTGCACCATAGATTCTGTCGGTCAAGTCCGAACAATGCCCGACACTTCTTAGGAGCATTTGCATCTGTTAGCACAATGTAAACACACAGAAAAATACAACAACATGGTGTATACTTCTCTCTTGGAGGCACATTCTTAGCTAAGGATACCTACAAAACAGTTTTTTGTTGTTTTTGTTTTATTTGGTAATTCCCCTCCATGCCGTTACCAACACACAGAGCTTCCAAAACCGTCGATGAGTCCGTTATGTTGGACCGGGTTGGTGGACAACAAAGACAATGAACCAGCTTTTCTCTGTAACGGCGAGCAGTGAAATGTTCACCAGCCGATGCCAGGCAGAGCAGGAAGTGAAAGTCCAGAGCAAGGGCTGACATTTTTATTTCCAAGTAACATCAAAGCCAGCATAGTTCAGCGTAGTAAAAAAATATTCAAATACTACAGGACTTAGGACGCTATCATTCTCCACAGCACACAACATCCATGAATGGAGGGTGTCTGACATGGTACGGGAAACATCACATGCTTAAAGGAAATGATATGGGATGTCAAAGTGGCTGGATGACCGATGGCAGATGGGTAGAAGGCATCGCAAGTTCTGAGATGCCACATCATTTTCTTTTTAACTGTATCTGCAGTATTTGTACACTTTTCTGTAAAATTCAAGGGGAACATTTTTACGTCTACCCATTGCAAACAGGAAAGGCAAACGTTCGGGGATGTTATGATGACCATGAAATGCAGATGACAAGCAGATAGCATGACTGTGACTTTGTTAAATACAGTGATGGGTTAAGGGACTTTAGATGTAGCATACCAAGAGGGGAAGAATAACAGAAGTTACTGCTGCCAAAACCCTTTCAGCTCCCTACAGTATGGCTTACTTTGTTTTCGAGAACCCCACCTTTCCTATCTTATGGACTAAACCAACATTGATGAGAATGCAACCCAAGAGCTCCCTAGGAACCTTTTTAAAAATGAGACAGTCCCAGTTGCTACATCACAAAATTTCGGCCAGCCAGCCTCAAAACACATTTATTTGTATAGACCTGTTGCTAGCAGCTGGTAAAGGGTCAGATTATTTCACTTTTTGGTAGATGTTGGAGAGTTCAATCACCTATACTTCTCAAGGACTCTGTTAGAGATCTCTGGTCTTCAGTTCCCAAGTCTGCACATCTTTTGTCATCATTAGGGAGTACCACTCTCTCTGTAGCATTTTTAATTGATTTCATATCACTGAGAATGCAACAGGAAGAGGGGCCTCAAGGTGGGTGGGGAAATCCTAAACTCTCAGGTAGGTGTCCACCAAGAGATATAAGGGCTCAGAAGATGACTGAGCCCACCATACTCTATGTCTAAATGATCATTCTTGGATGGTCGACCCTATAACACACATATAAGTATAAAAAACAGTGTGTATACTCTACATTCTAGGAATAACACAATGGAAAAAGAAGCATAGTTGAACCACTAGACTTCCTTGGCACTTGAAGACTTTTCTGGGGTCTGATTCCGTGGCAAACCGCGACACTATCTAAGAACTCCCACATTGCGGAGAAACAGCAGCGGCCAGATATGTGTTTGGCCAGCCTGATGTGTCGGACAAACAAGGGGGCCACCAACCACTTGACGACTATAAGCTGTTAGCTGTAGGCACAGAGTGGGAAATTACCAAGTAAAAGAAAAACTAAATAAATAAAAAAAATGAAACGGTGAAACCAGCCATAGCTATATCTGGAATAACCATACACACCTGCAGGGACCGCACCAGTTATTCTGCTGATCAAGGCCAAAGCGCGCTCGACATTTCTTAGGTGCGCTCAGGTCTGAATGAGTTCAAGACAGAAGCCAGCAGAAAAGGGAACAGGAAGAGATAAAAGAAAAATAAAATAAAAAGAAATCAATGAACTGGTTACTAATTGCAAAAAGCGTAGAACTTTAATTAAAAAAAAAATCACAGAGTTAAACAAAGTTCATGGAAAGGTAACTGATTGTTGCATATTTAATGCTTCATTTGCAGAAACAACTAAAGCTGCAGTATCTCCCTCTAAAGGGGGGTGTTCAGAAGACTTTATTTCCTGTTCCTTAACTGTTATCATCTGCTTGATTCCACCCAACACAGCGTTTGGTAGATGCTGGAGAGTGAATCTCCCTAATGGCTTCTTATATCTTTTGGGGGGAGTCTATTGATATGACCTTCACACTGCATTCCCGGGTCTGCACACCTGCTGTGGTCATTACAAGGGGTTCCCACTCTTCCTGCTGGACTTTGTATTTCATTTTTAATCACAGAGAGTGTAACAGAAGTAGTGAGAAAACTCAAAGTTGAGTGTGAACTCAAAAAACTCCCAAGGACGGCCCGGTGGCAGAGCCAGGTAAATCCCCACAATATGCAAGAAGACAGTGGGTGACTTGGCCCACCAGAATCTACCTGTGGCTGAAATGGCACCTCTGGGACATAATTTACTTGTTTTTTTTGGCCATAGTTACATTGCCCGTTGTCATGGTTGGGGACAGACATGTCAAGAGCATTAAGTTCAATCTCTATGGCTATGGTCATTTTGGTCCACCAGAAGTGTGTAGTTCTGTTGTCCTGGGATCAGAGAAAGCTGATCTATGGATAAAACAGAAGCCTACACTGAGACCACAGCAGAGCCAAGTCCCCTCCCAGGGCAACAGAACCATCGAATCTGCCCTCACCAAGGAATTCATGGATAACAAAATCCAGAAGGACTATACTAAACATTCAGCATGCTGTAAAAGTTGTAAGACAGCATCTGCAAGCTAAAAGACTCTAGACTCCTGTAGACTCTCTTTGGGTTTTAGTCATCATATAAGACATATGATAGCTCGGTTCTTGAGTATTGTGTTTTTTTTTTAATTTGCTTTCAATTGTGTGCACTATGCGATTCCCCTGGCTACAGCTCATACACGGCTTATCAAATGTTGTCTCCTGTGTTTTATCTGGCCAATCACAGCGCAGTCAGTTGGGTTTCTCTAGTATACATAAAGCCTTGAGACAGTGCAGCTTTATCAAATGCTCATGTTTATTTGTAAGTTACATCTTGTGTAAAGAAAAAGAGAGAAAAGAGATGGAGCAGAGAAGCAAAGCAGACAGCGGGATGGTAGGGTTAGCGCTATGAGGCATGCCTTTGAAGCGATACGCTAGCAAAGGAGGTTTTTATGATTTTTTTTTTTTTTTAAAACAGTCTTTTTTTCTTATTTTTTTTTTCTCTTTTTTTTGCAGAAAAAGAAATACTGCATATCCCATTGGCACAGTTAGCGTCTCGCCAATAAGTCCGCTAATAAGTACTGGGAAAACAGACTGTTGTGAGGAAACACACTATTGTGTAACATACAGACAAATAATTAGGATGCATTATAGAACGTGCTGTAAGCTGAGGTATGAAACTTTCAGAATGTTTGAAAGATGACAGGAAAAAAAAATAAAAATAAATAACAGCAATCAGTATAACCCGTCAATGCTTCGGGGTTTCCGTATTCACCAACAAAGGCACTGGGGGAGACTGCCAGGAAAAGGTGCTGCCTCCCCCACCACCAACGAATGGGTACGATTCTCATTCCAAACAGCAATGCTCTGGCTTAAAGCGTGTCTGTCTCTTCACCTATCATTGCGTTTAGCAAACAGAACCACAAGCTAACAAGTCGCTACTTTTGGATCGGTTCCCCCCCCGCCCTGGACTCTCCGGCGTTATCATTCATAAGATATGTTTGGGGTGAACTAGCGAAGTATCCACTCCAATGGGCTCTTAAAGGACCACAAGGCGCTACAATAAATGTCAATGCACCAGACCAACAAAAACACGAAACAGAAAACATCCACACATCTGTGATAAGTAAATTAAAGAAAACCCTTCATCAGGGTGGGACGCAGTAGCGTCACAAGGGGGGTGCGGCCCGCACCCGGGTGACACCAAAATGACTGACAGTCATTTTGGTGTCACCCCCCCTCTGAAAAGTCGGGCGCTCAGCCATGGACCGAACGCCCGACAGCATCAGGAGAGAGGAGGGGATACCTTATCCCGCCGGGTGACTGTCCCCTCCTCTCTCTGCCGGCGTCCATCACCAAGATGGCCACCGGCAGGTACCAGAAGATCGCCGCGCGTGCGCGATGACGTCATGCACACTCGCGTGGTGACGTCACGGCGGGGTGACACCCGGTAACCGCCTCCGGGTGTCCCCCAGCCTCGGGACGCCCCTGGTGGGACGTCACTTAAATTAAAGTGCATGGCCGGAGCTTTTTTTTCCGTTAAAGATGAAGGGTAATCTTCCATCTTTTTCTAGTTTGACTATTTTGGATGTGGGGACGCACTGGGGGTCCCAGCGTGCTTTTTTTTTTGGTTGCTGGGCCTCCATTGCGTCCCTGCACCTTGTGAGGAGGAGTAGGCTACCTCCTGGTACACCTGCATTTAATTTATCAACTACATTAATATGCTCCCACTTGGAGACTCATATAAATAGAATCGGACCACACTTTACAGAGGAGCCTCGACGGGGCGGTGCGGCTTCTACTTATTTTTGGCCAAAGGTTTGTGCAATTAAAACCTCTGCTTTTGACGCATACTGTTAGACGGGGTAATGTGTTTTGTTGCAGGCTAGCTGGCAGGTGTGCTGGAGACTTTTTTTGTGTTTTGTAATCTTCCAATGGGGCCACCAGTTCCAGTGGTAACTGTCCAAGAGAAGAATTTTCCTCTTAGAGATTTCCATTCACTTTCTGTTGCCTCTCTGATGACAGGAACTGAAGAGAAATCTCTGCACCAAGACCAAACAATAAACTTACAGGGGTTTAGGTGAAGTACAACAGGATATGAATGGAAATATCTAAGAGGAGAATTCTCCTCTTAGTTACCACTGGAACTGGTGGCCCCATTGGAATATCGCCCTTCATTCTATCCAAATCTAAATAACTCTATCCAATCCAAAAATGTAATAAAAGCTTTGAGAGTACATGATGCCTCAGGAAAGATCAAGAGAGATGGGGTCGTTGTTAAATACATTTACAAATTTTGAGATGCAGCTTTGTTATAAATAAATACAAAAATCATCCAAATTCTGAAATAGCTTTTTTTTTCTGGCTTTATTTGCATTCAGAGCATCTTGCAATTTATGTATGAGGGTCGGTAAGGTTTCTTTCAAAAGGGCCACTCCATCCCCTCGAGGGAACCGATATTAGTCAGATTCAAAGGTGTAAAAAAAAATTCCAGTGCATATTTTATATTACATGCGTGTTGAATTATTATTATTATTTTTTTTACATAAAAAGGTATTATTGTGTCAATGAGGGTGCGTTTAATCTAACTCCGCCAGGTAGGTCAAAGTAAATCATTGGAGCGCACATTTGTACTGGCTTTAGCTGTCCAATCTGTGCCCGGACAGGTTCCCGTTGCACGTGGACCCCAAGCCTCTAAATCCTTGGTTCTCAACTGGTGGGTCGTGACCCAAAAGTGGGTCGCGACCTCATGTTCAGTGGGTCGCCACGTGCCTTTCACTTTTCTAGGTGAGAGGCTCCTCTGCCTCTAGCAAAGCAGTGTCAGGTCTCTAGCAAAGCACTGTCAGGTCTCTCGCGAAGCAGCCATTAAAAATATGCTGCCCAGCGCCGAGTGTCAGCTTGAGGTGGGATGGGCTGGGACTATGGCCATCGAAGGAGCTCCATCCATCCATACATGCATTGGTTTTTAGCTCCCTCACATGTCCTATAGAGGTGCCTGGACAGGAGAGACATCACATTCTGGTTTCTCTACAGGCCAGGCAAGGGAGCTGTACCAGTAATGCACATATGGACGGAGCTCTGTCACAGCAGCCCACACTGGACCCCAGGCTTAGGATCCCCTCCAATTCCTGTAAGGAAGGGAGACTGGGCGGACCTTAAACATTTTTTGTCGGGTGTACCTTTATTCCGTGCATTCCATTGCAGTGCGACTTGGGTCAGGACTTGATGACCAAGGATAAATGTGGGTCCTGAGGTTACACAGGTTGAGAACCACTGCTCTAAATGATATAAATGTGTCCACAATGCTTTTCCTACATGCGTGTCTCTAAGTGCCATCAGTGCTAATTATACATAATAATATGATACCTTTTTTTTTCATAACACTTTGCATGCAAGAAATGATATTCAAATGGTGAAAAACAGGGGGGGAAATGTGTGTTAGAAAACAAAATGTTTGACTATAAAATCAAAAAATTTTATTTAAAAAAACTAAAAACAGCCAACAGGGAATGCAGTATTGTAGGGAATGAGGGTGACCGTTAGAGCTGGAAGGTGGGCGACAGGAAGGAATCACCTAACTTGTATCAGTTGATAAGAAAAATCACACCAATAAACACACAAAGTCACACATACAATGTAAAAAAAAAAAGTAGTCATGGGCTGGCAATATTGCATTGCATGAATGGGTCGGCTTTTACAAAATGGGATGGATGACAGCAGGAACGGAGCAGGTGCCCATACCGAAATTAGAAGCACGTAAACTCATGGCAAAGGAAGGAAGACAAAAATTCCTATTTAATGAGAGTTTTAGATCCAGTTGCTTACACCTCCAAAGACAGGAGCCCTTATCTACCGCAAAGGAAACAGAATGGGAGGGTCAACCGTAATCATGAATTGGGGAAGAGGACGACATTGGGAAAGTGAAAGACACCTAGTGGAAGTTTTCGATCTAGCTATTATATTTCAGAGGAGAAGACAGCTGGCCCAGCGGAAGGAGGTGACAACCTGCACTCCAGAACAGGTATTGGAGAGGTGCATGGAATATTGATAATCGGTGGTACAGAATAAAGGATGCCAAACAAATTTCTAAGACTTGACGGACATGGTGAGCCTGCTCTCATCAGACGGGGTCACTCTAATCGGCTTACCCAAATCCAAAAAGAGAATGATAATAGCATGAAGTGTGCCAAACCACAGATGAGTCCAAGAAAACTTGAATTGGTTGTTGAATAATTTGTTTGATGACCTTTGATGATGTGGTTTTGCACTCCTCATGCGATCATCCCCTTGCTGGAACCTGCACTCATGCGACTGAGAAAGTGAGGACCAATGTCATGATGTGAAAGAAAGAGGAAGGGAAAGACCCGAGGGTTACACCGTGCACTGCTTCCAACAACCGAATGGAAACTGGTACACAGTTTACTCCAAGACTAGTTAGCAAAAATGCCATTCTTGGGTAACTATGGTTGATATAGAGGTTGGCAGAAAAGTCTACCATATGATAAAAGGTGCTGCTACTGGTGCCAATTCCAATTTGGTTGTCCTTTTCTCTTCTGCAGTTTTTTTTATCAATCTGTCTCACTAGAGAGGTCCATCCCTGTGCTGGCTTTCTCAACTGGAAAACCACTGGCCATATTAGGGTAAGAAATTTTTTTTCCCATAAGGAGACATGATTCTAACAGAGACATGTTTTCTTGCCAGCCAGCGCAGATAAAGCAATGGTGTATGAGTCTAGATAGCTGGTGCGGTGTTCAATAGCTGAAATGCACGAGGATGGATTTTTTCTGATGCACCTTTGTCTATGGAAACTGGTCGGAAGAGTAATCTGAAGGCTTTCATTTCATATGAAGGCTTCAGGGGAACTTCAGGTGTCTTTGTAATGCTTTCACCCTTCCTTTCTGAACTGACAATGACCTTGATGATAAAAGCTTTCACATGCATCTGAAAGCTGAAGTTTACTTTGCCTTTCCTGGTTCCTCCCTCCCCTCATTGACATGCTAATGAGTTATTTGAATAAAGCTAACCATTTGCATGACATACTTCTTTTTTATTTTTTACAACCAGTGGGGCCAACTGCTGATGCAAGCAGTGAGCTGGCTCTTAGGGGGAACTATGCAAATATCAAAATGCCTTGAGGAGTGGATGTCAATCTGAAGAAGTGGGTGTTAGCAGGCAAGCTTCCTCTACATGCAGACCACCCTAGGTAATGCACGCATATGATGCCGAGCCTCCATGATCGAAAGAAATGCAAATCCAATCAATGAAAGGGATAGGCCAGGGACAGTCAGGCTGGGCAGTAATGGGCTCTCTGTCTCCTCCCACCCAGGAGGGGGGTTTCTCTTCGGGAGATCCCCCCTGCCTAGTACTGTGTGGGACCTGTTTCGGCAGGTCCCCAAAGGATCGGGGTCCACCGGCCTTCGGGTTGGTGGACCAACAGTCTCAACCCCTGTCAGGAGCCTTGCGCCCCGGGGGGTCGGGAAGTAGGTCCCTTCTTTGGAAGGACCTTGCACCCTTGTGCACGTTTTTGTGTGCTGTGATTTCACCGTTCACTTTTTTTTGTTCACAGGGGGAAGTTTGTTTTGATGCACATCCACGGGCTTCGAAAAGTAATGGGCTAGATGATGCTGAACATCCTCCAGCCAGGAAATGAGGCGGCCTCTAGCTGAAAGCTGCAGCTTTTAATGCACATTGTGAGAAGCTCCCAGTCTGCAGTGAAATCGGAGGAAGCCGTTTCAGTCCAGCAGGCGAGCAGGTACAACTGTGCAAGACCGAAGGGAAGGTCAGAGTTCAGCTTTACAAAGGAGGTTCTCTTTCTGCAACATCCATGCATACAAGTCATAATACAACAAGTGTGGCTCCTTCACTGCTTGTGATGGACGGTTAACTGATCAAAGTTTGGGAACATTGCTGAAGAAGCATCAGATGACAAATACTAAAGATCCCTCAATAACTCAAGGTTCCTGCAGCCCATGTAATAAACCTGAATGACACAACTACAGGATTCTGTACACCTTCCGAAGCTCCACCTACAAATTTTCTCTGCCGTAGAGTCTTTAGCAGATGCAAGTGAGATTAATCTATTTCTAGCAATTAGCAAAGCTGCAGACATGTTAATATTTTAGTTACTTAATCGAGGATATCCTTGGGATAATAACATGCTCTAATACTAACCCAGCCCCCCCAAGGCTCGGGCGACCTGTTCCTTGCACAACGATGTGGAACTAAGAACTCCCAGCATGCCTGAGGCTCCACATCGGCATTAGAGCAACAGTCCGCCCCAAGTCTGTCCCATGCTTGTACTCCACCCAACCACAGCAACGCTTCAAGCCAGAGCAGCCTAGGACAGCCAATAACTTTAGTTCTTATTTTCCCATCCTCTCTCGCAAAAGAAGTGGTTTATGTTAATAAAATTATAATGGCAATAAAATGCATTTTCAGGAAAAAATAAACAAAAAATAAAAAAAGTTATAATAATACAGGAAAGTCCAAAAAAAAATGGCTTAGCACCTGCAATCGGAGGAAGTGAAAGGCAAGGATTTAGGTAACATTCGTTGTGTTCTGTAAAAAAAGAACAAATTATACAAAGTCTGGACATTGGAATAATAGAAATAATTCAAATTGTTTATGCAGTATTTTCAAACCTCCTTAATGCCTGAATTACACATGGGAGAGGGGAGAGGGGGAAGGGGCGGACAGGGAATTACCCAATAAGCATGCAGCAAAGACCCCGGGATAAAACCTTGCACACCCACACACACACCCATGCGCACACACATAGTAAACACCACACAGGTAAGTCATCAATAAACTAATGGCTGGTTGTACTTTACTGTTACATTTTTAATATAGTAAATACACAAAATCTCTAGTATGGCATGCACATGTACAAATATATCTTCTAATTTTATTCCATTAAAAGGGGTCCAAAAGTATGTGGGGTCCAGTAATCACTGGTTCATGGGGCATCAGAGTCCCATTGGAGACACCAGAGACCAGGCGTCTTCCCCCCTTGCAGCAGCGTTTAGTGGGCCCCCACCCACTGAAATAAGAGGGGATGCTACTTTGGGGTGGTACTTACCGTTACTTTCGCCTGCCTGCTTTTCTCTTTTCCTCTTCTTCTTCTTGCCCTAAAGAGCAAACACAAAAGAGAAAATGGTATTTAGTAACATTACATATCAACTAAGGAGGCAGACAAAAAATGTGTACAAAAGGAAGAAGAAGGGCCAACGTCACCCAAAACTGACACTGGAGCTGATTCACTGGACTCTCTCTCAGATTTGGTGTCTCTACCCCTCCCACAATGGTGAGATTTTCCTCCAGTAGTTTGTGTCTCTGCCTCTCCCACAATGGTGAGATTTCCCCCCAGTAGCTTGTGTCTCTGCCACTCCCACAATAGTGAGATTTCCCTCCAGTAGTTTGTGTCTCTGCCCCTCCCACAATGGTGAGATTTCCTCCAGTAGTTTGTATCTCTGCCCCTCCCACAATGGTGAGATTTCCCCCAGTAGTTTGTGTCTCTGCCCCTCCCAGAATGGTGAGATTTCCCTCCAGTTGTTTGTGTCTCTGCCCCTCCCAGAATGGTGAGATTTCCCTCCAGTTGTTTGTGTCTCTGCCCCTCCCACAATGGTGAGATTTCCCCCAGTAGTGATTTTTTTTCCTGGCCATCGCAACCTGAATCCCCAAGAACAATAGGAAGCCAACTTGTGAATAAACTCTCCAGTAGCCATGTTTTTCTCACATTCCAGTTTTGGGTTGCGTTTCAGGCAACCTGTCATTGTACAATACACCATAAACAAACATGACTAGTGATACATGCCATCATTCAGTGAAAAGTAGACTCATTCACCATATGAGCCTCTCCCTCCCAATTAAATATCACAATATGATGCATGTGGCTCGTATAGGGCCCTGAAGTGCACATACTACCATGTACAAGATACATGGGGAGGGGTGGGGGG